AAAAAAAAACTGTGTATTGGCTGGTGCGATGGCTCACGCCTGTAATCCCAACACTTTAGGAAGCTGAGGTGGGCAGATCACCTGAGGTTGGGAGTTCAAGAGCAGCCTGAGCAAGATGGAGAAACCCCATCTCTACTAAAAATACAAAAAATTAGCTGGGTGTGGTGACACATGCCTGTAATCTCAGCTACTCAGGAGGCTGAGGTAGGAGAATTGCTTGAGCCCTGGACGCGGAGGTGGCGGTGAGCCATCGCACTACAGCCTGGGCAACAAGAGCAAAACTCAGTCTCGAAAAAAAAAAAAAAAAAAAAACGAAAAACCCCACTGTGTATTTAGGTTCTGAAAATCCAGTTTCTGTTCTTTTGGTAGATATTGATCACCTAATTTTCTTAACGGGGAAACGTTAAAATACTAGCTGAGGGGCTCATTCAACCCTGAATAAGAAAAAGGTGTTGGAAGCAACACCTTAAGGGCTAAATTAGAGAAATCCTGAGTTCTGATCTGTGGATCAGGACTGCCAAATGCTGGCTATCAGCTTGTGTTAATATTAATAAAATACGCTTCATCCTCTCGTGACTCAAGTGAAAAAGAAATAGAGGGAGTTGGGTGGCAAGGAGTATTGTGTATGGCAAGGGTCAGAACTGCATGACATGCTGGGAAGAAGAGAAGCCATGTGCCTCCTCCCGCCAAGTTCCTATGGAGAAGGTGCGTCTTAGATTACCTGACTTTTGTCTGACTGTGAAAGTAGTTAATTTTTAGTACTATAAATTGTACTTTCAGCCTTTGTAGCCTCAGCTATTAAGAACAAATATCTCATTCAGGTAGATTTCTTATGCGGGAATATTCTGGAAAAATCAAAATATGGACTGCCCTCTAGGAAGACATTAGGATTAACACTGGGAACTTTAGCCGGGCGTGGTGGCTCAAGCCTGTAATCCCAGCACTTTGGGAGGCCGAGACGGGTGGATCACGAGGTCAAGAGATCGAGACCATCCTGGTCAAC